GCTTCCGCGAGTGTGACGCTTATTTTGAGTGACGAAATTTTAGTGAAAATTTTCATATCCAAATTCAACAAAGCAATAGGTCAATAAGAGGAACATTCTGTTTCACCCTTTCCTTCTTTCAATAACAATGAAATATTAGCTTTATATAGCGTACAGGGAAATGCTTGAGTATGGAAAGAATGCTTAAACATTCTCAATAAAAGCGGGGCCACCTTTTCAGAGTATTTCTTATACAATTCAATGCCAAACCTATCTGGGCCTGGGGACTTTCCATGGGGGAATGACTTAATAGCTTTCGAAACTTCTTCAATAGTAATATCTGGGTTTAAAGCCTCTCGAGCAGCGTCATTCATTTTCGGGAGATCCAGCTTCCCTAACCAATCAGAAATATTGCCCCAAGATTTCGACATAATCTTCATAATATTCTCTATATTGCTCATTAATAGCTTTAGGGCTGATTAAAATTTCGCCTGATCTTGACTTAATTTTGTGTATAGCCCTACTGGCCTGTAGGCCTCTCAGCTGCCGAGAAAGAAGCTTATGGGGCTTATCTCCAAACTCTAAATGCTTCTGTCTGATCCTAAATAGCTGATCTGTTACTTGACTAGATAAAATTGTGTTATACTCAAACTTCCTTTTAATGATGTCTTGAAACAAAGAGGGACAAGAGGAGGCCTTGTGGTCCTGTTCTAACTGTGTTAATTCAGTTTCTATTTCTAACAGGCATTTCCGGCGTTCTTTTTTTAATGAAGATTCAAAAGAAATAATTTCTCCTCGCATTACCAGTTTAAAGGATTCCCATAAAATCGAATCAGAAACGTCTTGTTTATCATTAGTTTCCAAGAATTCTGATATTTTAGTTGTCATAAATTGGCAAAAGGATGTCTCAGACAGGACTGACGGGTAAAAACGCCAGTTACCCTGTTGTTTCGTACCACAGAAGTCCAGGACTAAAGAGGTTGGAGATCAAGATGTTGTGATAAGTTGAGCATACAACGTTAGACATCAATTTAGAATCAAGCAAAAAAAAAAAATCTATTCTGGAGTACGATTTGTGCACTTGTGAAAAATAAGAGTAATCTCTACCAGTAGGATTACACAGTCTCCAAACATCAACTAGGTTAGTAGAACTCAACATATTATTCAGAACAGTCGAAGCGTTAAACAACTGGGAGGTTTGAGTAGATCTATCCAAGTGTTTATCAAGTACACAATTAAAATTGCCTCCTAAAATTACATGAGTATCAGCGAGACTAGGTAATAAATAAAATATTTGTTGAAAGAAAGCTGGGCTATCAAAATTAGGACCATATAAATTCAATAAAGTAACATGGGTTTGCATGAATATGGCCCATCACCAGAACAAATCGACCATTCTGATCACTAACCGTGGACTCATGTCTAAATGGGACTGTTCTTCGGATCAATATAGCCACTTGGGCTAATCAGATTTTTCAGTTGACATTCTCCAGAATGCCGACTGAAAAATCTGATTAGCCCAGGAGCACCTGAACCTCTCTTTAGTCAGTTTCATTTGCGTTTGAAGAATTTTTAAAGCATTTTTATCTAATAATGGCAGAAATAATGTAACTCTTTATTATATATTTTATAACCAACTTTGTTCCACTGATATGATGAGAGTTGCCCAAACTGATTAAAATGACCCTTTTTTCCCCATCCTGTTTTTATAAATAGATATGAGTCAGCACTGACACATGTTCAAATTCCTTTGTCTGCTGGACTGAAATAGCAGCTCTGCTCTCTATTTATCCTTTACCATAGTGAATCATTTGAGGGATTCATTGATGATGGCTGTTTCTACTCACACACATGCGTAACTCAAGAGTCGGCATAGCCAGTTGTTAATTGACTCTGATCAAGTTCTGAAAATGAAACTCAGAATGTATTTTTAAACTCAGAGTTTGCCGAACCTGCTTCCTGGAACAGGCCCAGATCAGTAAAGTACTGATTTGTTTTACTGTCTGAGGATGGGTTAAGGTTTTGTGAAGGACATCATCAGGGTGAAGTTTATCACCAGACATTATTCTCTCATTCTCCACCGAGGCACTTCCTTCTTCTTTATGTCATTAACAGTCTTTATTTCTAAATTTCTAAAGGCCTTTAAAACCGACTGCGCTGAGAAAAAAAAAATGACAAAAATAATTTTTTGGATTTAAATTTCTCATGTGACACATGTACACACTTAAGGTGTTGCGTTTTTTAGAAAAGTTTTCCCTTTAAAAGAATGGACTATGAAAGAAATGAAGTGGACATGAAGCATGGTTTATCTGAATTTCAGGAGCAGACAGCAACACTTCTAGTTTGATCCAGCTATAATAGCAGTGGTTTCCAAATAGTCTGATTGGTCAGAACCATTTATTTACATAAAAAAAAGAGGGTAAAAAAAAAGAAAGTACGAGTCCAAACAATATTTTCAACAAGCAAAATATTCACATGGATTTGCGTTTGGTGTGCAAAAGCCTTAGGTCACTGAAACGTGCTCATACTGGGTTATAGATCTGTGTATAAGGGTCAGTAGTGGTCTGATTTCTCAGGTGAGAGAGGTTACCTGATCCTCTGGGTCCGGGTACGGTCGGCCGCAGGTGCAGTAAACTCCAAAGAAATTCTGACTGTATTTATTCAGACTGTTTACCTCATCTTTGTCCTGGAACACACACACACACACACACACACACACACACACACACACACACACACACACACACACACACACACACACACACACACACACACACACACACACACACACACACACACACACACACACACACACACACAAGTGATCAGCATCAGTTATCATGGTGATCTGTCAGGTAAACACAAATGTCTGTGCTCTGAGGTACCTCCTGCTAGTGACTCAGGTCAACGAGGACTCACCGGATGGAGTTTACACTGCAGCTCCGAGAACTTCCCGTTTCCACAGTCACAGCGGAAGTTCCTGCACCAGAATAAGAGACAGTTGTATTGACCACCTCACCGTGTGAACTGATAACTGCAGAAACTGACCAGTAGTTTCTGGTCAGTCACTAACTTATCAATAAAAGCATTGATCACCTCTTAGTGTACAGTTCAAAGAGGTCATGACCTTCGTGACATTTGTAGGAGCACGCCAAACAGATGCCGGCCGCCTCGCTGCCCTTTGGCGTGCAGGTGTTACAGGCATACAGAGCCTGCCGCTTCACATAGCCCTGAGAGAGAGAGAGATGTCTGGTCACATGGTCACCTGAGGTCTGCACTACAAGGAAGGATTTATTCCAGTCCAGGTAACTTCAGAGATAACCCTGAATCTTCTGTACTATAAAGATGGTTCACTTATTCTTAAGTTGAACCAACTTTTACTTTTTTCTTTTTTTTTTTTAAATTTACGTATTTACAGATGCTAATTTACAGATTAGAGATTAACAGCTATGACATCACCACTTACTGACCGATTGGATCTCTGGAAAATAGCATCACTATTGCTAGAAGATTCCTAAGCTTTTTATATATTATGTAACGTCTTTGTGTTTTTCTAATGAGCATCAGTAAATAGATAATAAATAATAGATGGAACTCTATTTTTTATTTTAATTTTCTCTGTTAGCAGCAAACAATTTTCGAACAGTTTCATTGTTCATTAATTAATTTATATCTGATCCTAAAACAGAACACCTACACTGTACCTGCTGACTTCAAACCAGATCTGTACACAGGCTATGTTTGAATTCTATTTTTCTATTTAACCTTTACCCTCTTCAAAAGTTGATTCTGTTCATCTGGACGCTACGTCCAGATGAACAGAATCAACTTTTGGAGATTTACTTACCTGGATGATTGAGAATGCATCAAACCTTTACCCTCAAACCCATAATCAGCAGTAGATGATAGACTGACCCTATCATCGATCATTTTTACAAGAGAGATTTATTTATTTATTTGCCCAAGAGTAAGTGTGACAAAGTGGGTGAGAAGACCATTTGTCTATATTCTTAGTCAACATTATTGTTTTGATTTAACCATATTTCATATATAGGCAAACATCTACTATCCCGGGTTTGTTTATGTTTTGCACTTTTACAGATTATATAATATAACTCAGTTATAACACACTGAGGTTAATTATGGAGTTCCACAGGGTTCAGTGCTAGGACCAATTCTGTTTACATTATACATGCTTCCCTTAGGCAGTATCATTAGAAGA